TGGGAGGTGTCCCTGCCCATGGGATGAGCTTTAAGGTCTCTTCCCACCCAAACCATTCCATGATTCCCTGACTTGTTGAAATATCCTCCAGCTGAATATTTTTGAATAGTTCCATATTACAGCAATGCCAAACTTTTTGCAACTAAAGCTCTCTTCCTGCATGTGTAGGAGCCAGAAGTGGAGCTGGTTGAGGATCAAAAGCATGGTAGGTTTGCTTTTATGTATATTTGTACAGATCTAGAATCAACCCCTGGGTTTAAAGCAAATGCTGAACACTTAAAGTGCTGAACAGAGCACTAAAATCCCTCCTGAGGGAAGGAGTTTGCAACGTTTGCAGGAAAACCAACTTATTTACCCAGGCTTGTTTTCCTGTGCAGCTGGATTTACAACTGTGTTAAGGGCACGTTTTCTATGCATCCTCAATGTCAGCAGGATTTAAAATTCTGCATGAAGCTCATAAATTAACATTTCTTCAAGTATCAGGTACAGCTTTTCAGCTCTGAGATACGAGGTTGGATTTAAAGACAAATTCTAGAAAAGCTTGGGAGAAAAAAGGTCAGATAGCAAATACCTTGTGTGTCAGTGTTTAAAATACAAAATAAAATGCTGTTTATGTTGCTCTAAAAATTGTCTGCATTAAAAAAAAAACAAACCAGTTGGATCTTATTTTATTGTCTGAATGTTTGAAACTATTAAGTGTCCATCAATGCTTAGAAAAATCCTGGTTTTTCAACAGGTGGGCTGGTGAAAAGAATCCTAGAAACCAAGAAGGATTATGAGGCATCACAGAAATCATCACAGACCACAGACAGGGTGAGGTGGCAATGGCTTTCAGAGAACTGAGAGATGAGATGTTGCAATTGTGACCTTTTCCTTTGCTTTAAATGTGTTTTATTCCATCTGTGATCGATCTTTTCTCTGTCATATCTTGTCTTGCTTATGTGATTTTTTTTTCCACAGCTGAGAAGGAGAAGGTAGGTTTTGTTTTTGCTGAGTTTTGTAGGGTTTTTTTCTTGTTTTGATCACTTAGAAAGTGTGTGGGAAGGATCTAGCAGTGATGGCAAACCAGAAGCAAAAGCTGGATCCCCCATATTTGAGTGTCTTGCTGTTGAAACAGAGAGCTCTGGCTTTGTGTGCCTTGCAGAGCTCCTGGTATATGAGAAACAGCAAAGGCAGAACACTGAGATGGATTCTCTGATCCCATGGAAAGTTCCTAAATCCATTTTGGTGTGCTGGGGAGAGGCACTGCAGTGATAAAAGTCTCATAAAATTAGACAAGTGTGTTTAGATGTTTTGGGGAGGTGAATGCATTCCATGAGCTCTTACATCTTCCAATCACATTTATTTTAATCTTAATCCAGTATCTTAGGGTTTTCCTACGTGTATGCTTTTCAGGAAAGGTCTCTGGTGTTGGAGACAGCTGTTCACAGCTGTTCACTGGGAAATCAGTGGTGACTCCTGAAGACTCTTGAAGCAGACTCCTGTCTGCCTCTTCTGGCTTTCCTTTCTTTTCCAGCACATTGATGAATTTGGGATGGCAGATCTGACTCTTGGGAGAGTATCCTCCTTTCTGGAGTTTGGGATTGGCTGAGATCCAGGCCTGGAAGAAAATTCCTTTCATGTGTTGCAAGAGCTGTAGTTGAGGAGCCCAGGTAGGGTTAGGGGGGATATTGGGAATTAGGAATTGTTCCCGTTCAGGGTGGACAGGCCCTGGATCCCTGGCAGTGCCCAAGGCCACGTTGGACAGGGCTTGGAGCCACCTGGGACAGTGAAAAGTGTCCCTGCCCATGGCAGGGGGGTGGCTCTGGATGGACTTGAAGGTCCCTTCCAGCCCAAATTCCTCTGGGATAATTCTAGAACTGAAGAAACTGAATCCTTCTAACAAGAGGAAAACACCTTTAGATTGCTGCCTACAGTCTGTTAGGGGTGGTTTTAGCTTTACCCAACTTGCTGAATTGCATCCATTTGTTAGAAATGTGCTTCTTGTGGTGGCTGAGGTCTCTGAAACATTCTGGCTGCTTGGCATGAGATACCCAATGGGAAGATTTGCCTGCCTGGTGAAATCCTGCCTTTAGAGAATTGTTTGGAGACAAAGTAGGGTTCCAGGCTGATTCTGGAGTTTCTGCAGCAGCTCCAAAGCTCATTCCTGAGCTGGCACTTTGCCCAAGCCATGCAGCTGTCCCTGTTCCCAGGTTTGTAACTAGATGGTGCTGTTGGATCATCAGTTCCCAGCTCAGTTTGGGAAGAGCTGTAGGAATTCATTAGTGCTGTCTCTCAGCACTCCCTCACCCTCTTTGGTGGTGTGTCCTGCCCAGCACTGGGCATGGAGCAGGATAATGGGGGAGGATTTACACAGTCACATGGATTTCAAGCTCAGGAAGCTTCCTCTGGTGTCTGTGCTGCATTTTCTGGTTGGGTTTTTTTCCCTGACTGAGAGTAACAAACGAAAACAGTCCCTTTTTAACCCCTTAAATGTTTTTAAATGGCCAATTGTGACCCACCACAATCACCATTGAGTCCCACTGCTGGTTTTCAGCCCCTAAAACATTCATTCAGCACTTGTTGGGCTTTTGTTGCACTATTGAAGCCCTGCTCTGTGTTAGCAGTGCCGAGAATAGAGAACTAATTCTGGAAAAAAACCTGCTGACTTCCTAGTCCATCACATGGAGACCTGTCCCAGCTCCTGGAATGCCATGGGACCTCCTGGCCAAGCAGCTGCTTGCTGCTGCAGGAGGTTCCTCTGTGCTCCTGCTCTGCAGAGCGTGGGGTGGAAGTGGTTGGGATCCAGTCAGGAGTGTGCTTCTCCTGGAATTGGCATCCACAGAGAAGTGTGGCTTTCCTGGAATTGGGATCCAGAGGGCCAAAGTGATTTTCCTGAAATCCTGATCCAGACAGGATTCTAGTTCTGAAA